ATATATATACATATATATACATATACATATATATACATATATATACACATATACATATATATACATATATATACACATATACATATATATACATATATATATATATATATATATATATGCGCTTCTGTTTTGAGTGGAGAATCCCTTTCAATTTTGTAATATCATATAATACCATCATTGCTGTCAGGATTTTTCAGTACAGTAATTTACATTTATATTAAGTAACAAATATTGTTTTTATTTATTAAGACAAACATAAGTTTCCTCATATTAAAATCCAATGTATTTATTCTGTTTTGCAAGGTCAGACAAAGAATACAAAATGTAAGATTAAATAAAGAATAAAAAGCAAAAGGTAAGTACAAAAAACAACTATATATACTGTATATAATAATGTAAACTATAATTACATTTTTAAAAATAAATCATGCGTGTGTGTCAGGGGGATGTTATGGGGTTATATTTTAGGAAGTCCATCTTCAGGAACTCCTTATCTACTTGAAGTCTATGGGTTTTCCTGAAATTGTAAATGTAATGTAATATTTTCCACAGAAAGAAAACTTATTAGTAGTAATTTTCAGCACTAGCTGAGATTTGGTAATTGTGAATTGTTTCCTAATATTACCCAGTAAGTCTGATCTGCAAGCGACCATATATAGAGAACGTGACTTTTCACTGCTGGTTGATAAGGACTTTCTAAAGCCACTGCTCTGTGTATTCCTTTCTCAGGAAGAGTGAGATTGTCAATTTGTGTGACTGTGCCAAAAGTCGGGTGAACATTCCCATGGGCGCCCAGTATTCAGCGGGTCTGTCTGTCTGTAGTCATGCTGTAAGACTCTCCGTGCTCAATGAATCCTCCCAGTTATCTTTAAGCCCATGTGATTGTGACTCCCTCCCTCCAAATCTGTCTCTCTCTCATTCATCACTTCTTCCCTTTTCATGTACCGATTTCTCCCTTTTCCCTTTTTGTTTTGTCAAGCTGCCTCTATGCGGCTCATTCTGTCACTTGCCTCCTCCCTCCTTTCATCCCTCTGTCTTTCCTTGCCCAGCTCCTCGGTTTTAACAGCCAGCAGATGCTCCCCAAAGAGAGGGTACCCCGCCCTCCCACCCTGCCTGCTGCTGCTTTAACTCCCTTCCCCCTTGTCCATCCCTCTCCCCCTCACCCCAGAGCTGTATTTTGTGACTTCCCTGCCCTCTCACCCTTTTGATTTTTTCCTGCCACCTCCCCTTCTTATTCACCTCATCTTTTTTGTTCTCTCCACATCTCTATTTCCCATCACTTTAACTCTCCTATATTCTTCTACATTACTTGTCTCACACCTTGCTCACTCCCTTGGCTGCAAGACAACAAGCATCTTCTCCTGCACTGCCATCTAGTGTCCACTGAGAATCATGAAAGATATTTACCATTGTGCTGGTCTTGAGGCCTTACTGCTGAGGAGTTAATATATTGTGGATATTTGCTCAGTGTACTGTAGTACCATCAATATACTGTACTGGGCACGTCTGTGGCAACTAGGCTGATATTTGACAATACAAATAAAAAGATCTGTAAATTGATTGTGCAGCTGACAGATGCTGCCATGCCAGCTAGTGTAGAATAAAGGAGGAGGAAGGGAGGGGGATTTGCTATATAAAGCCTAATACCCTGTAAGCTCTGTTTTGGAGCTGCCTGAATAAAGACACACTTATGTCATTTACTATGGAGAGGATTGGACAGTTACGCCCTCACTACGGAACTGCGGGTAAAAAGGACATTTTCTGCATAATTACCAGAGAGAGGTGCCATTTAGGACCACCTGCATGAGGTTTTTACAACGCTCTTTAAAAAAATGTATACATCGCATTCATATGCATGTCGATATTGTCCAAACTGCAAAAATTCAATTATATTTAAAAATACTACAAAATACCTCCATTGATACAATGTTTGGTCTGCGTCACGGTATGTGAAAGCACCTTAACAAATGCAAAAAACATTCACCTTTTGAGAAAAAAATGAACATGTGGTATCTTGAGGGTTGTGATTAAACTTTAACTTTATAATTTATAAAGAAAAAATATAAAGAAAATGACATCAATGGTGTGTAATAGGGTTCAGTTAACATTTCTTGAAATATAAGGTTTTGAAATCTTTAAGATTTTAACATACAAACATAAAGATAATATCTAAGAGGTGTATCTAAAGTAGTACATTTTAAAATCAACAGGTTGTATTCAGCCTTTGCTTTTACTTTAAGTACATTTTGTTACATACAGGCACCGATTTATAAAGAAAAATGGTCAAATTTAGTACACCATAGCTATATCGCTCTCTGTGTTTTATGTCGGTCAATTTTCAGTTTTGTTTATAATAAAGAAAAGAAAAAAAGTTGATTTGCTTTAACAATGAATGAGGGTTCATACAATTTGCTATTGTGAGTGATGGATGAAAATATGGTGATAAATAAAATAACTCTTCAACTTTGAACTATAGTGAAATGGCATTAAACAGAATGCAGCCACAACCAAAATTCTTGTCAGTGCACCTCAACTAACATAAATGTCATATGACACTTACTATTAACCCCTGAACTCAGAGTCAGAAGTTCAAAAGCTACAAATCGGGCAACATCTCTCTTTATGTCACTTAGTAAACATTAACATTAATATATCCTCACAAAACCTCAGTCTGCCTGTCTCTCTTGTTCTATCTAAATGACAAGTTGTGTATCAGAATGTCCCTGATGCACCTTCTGAGAGGACACACTGCACAGTAAACATGCAAACACACAGCATACACACAAAGGCGTAAAAAGCACACAAACAACCATATCCACATGTTATGGCTATAAAATATCAGTCAGGTCAAGAGAAAATCAAAGGGTTAATGGCTACATATAGTGCATGCAGCCAAAAGTACACACTTACTTCTAGTAAAAGTCCATACACTCACACAAAACACATTTCACCACAGGGATCAGATAATCTAGAGCAAACCCCTTGAGAAAAACTGGGAAAGAAAAGTGACCTATATCCCTTATTTTCAGGTACGCTGACAACGCTCTGTTCTCATTGCTGAGGAGTTGCTATACTGTACTGACTTGTCAAGAAAAGGGTTTTTTTTACCTGCTGTACCTGCAATGATGCGAAACCAGCCGGTACACAACTCCTCGGCCATTGAAAGCTCTGTCCATGGACTCCCTCGCTCTCACCCCAGCCAGACCGAGGGATGAAGGGAGAAGACGAACAGAGGACGAAGATGATTCACTGGAAATTATCAACGGGAGACGAGAAACGAGGAGCAACCCCGGACGCTGTCGGACTGAGCTGCACAGAGGACATGCACGTATACACTGATGCCAGCGCATAAATTAAGAACTTCAAGTGCACCGGCGAAGGCATGCACACGACCACACGGGATCAGAACATGTGTCACAGTAGGCTAGACAAATCAGCCATTGAAAGTCAACATGTCCTTTACTGCAGTACAGGCACGTGCACACACACACGCACGCACGCACACACTTTTACAAGTGGTTGCCAAAACTGAGTAAGCATGGGTGCCATTTTTAGTCACCTTATATTTTGAGTAATTAAGATGCAGTTAAATGTTACAACAAAAATGAATTGAAAATGAATCGGAGTGCTTCAGTGTATTTCTCACCACTGACGTTTGCTATCCTGAATGATCCATTGTGTTTGATTGAGTATTGTTTTTTTAATATAAGATAGTACACTAATCATTAGATGTCATACATGACATTTAACACTGGCAATTACAGGTGAACTGGACCAAAAATTTGTTGATATATTTCCCAACAAGAACCCAAAAATGACATGCTGTTGGCGCCATCTACTGCTCTGTTTAACACAGTGCACTTCTCCCTCCTACACGGTGTACCTCTCCCACGCCTCCATCTCTGATCCATTTCTACAACTGCTCTCAGCGTCCTTTTCCAACAACAGCAAAGCATACTGTCACAAGCATCAGCAGTACCACATAGACACAAACACGTGTTCATTCAACACAGAGAAAGGAAGGAATCCAGGTAATCTACATGATCTATTTTTAAGTTCCCACTATCCAGATGCAGCATCTGCACAATCACATTCAATTTTTTGGATTTCAATTTTATTTGAATAGCCCAACATAGCAAATTACAAATTTGCCTCAGAGGGCTTTACAATCTGTACAACATTCAGACCGGTTCACTGCAATGCTAATCCCAGTGTACGCTGTGACAGTCAGGTCGTTAAACTATGAGCACGATACCTGCAGTGGCACCAACGACATTTCACTTCATTGTCATATTCAAGCGCTTTGCTCCCCGTTCTCTCGTCCTTATCTCAGTGAGACACTCTCTCCTAAGAGCAGCGCAGTCTCCCTGGCATTTAGACAGACACTTACTATTCAGAAATAGACTATGGGCAAGGATGTCCTTATTTCTGGCACATTTCATACGCTTCCCAGATGGCAGAAACTTGTGAAAAGCGAGCCTGTTTACTTCAAAAACAGCAGATAAAAAAAAGACAAAGCATATCTTCTTTCTCTGTCCCTAAGCCATCCACCTCTCTTGTTCCCTCTCTCCCACCCTGCTCATGCCTTTCGCCTGTGGGGTGCAGTGTTGCTCTAGGCTGGCAACAATTCTTCAGTGATGTCTCTCCGCATCTGCTTGCAGGTCCACAATTGTTTTCACCACCAGCAAAAACCCGCAACACAAACTCAAATGGGTCATCACTCTGCTACTGTGGGAATGCAGCTAAGAAGGCAACGCTGCATCGAGCAGCAAACTGCCGTTATCATCTGGCAAGTGAAGAAGCACTGGGAGTGGAGGAGAAGGTAGTGATGCCTCTACATTCATCAAATGTGGCTAGAATTCCCTCCTCGGTTTCTACATAAAAATAGCAAACTTGCACAAACTGTGCTCTTGCCTTTGCACCAGTAACAGCTGCCATTCTGTTGATCAATTGATGAGACAAATCAGCAAAATAAATAAATGGCAATTGCGATACACGACTACTTATCAAATGAAAGTATCAAACCTTTCCTGTGTCAAAATGTGCTGCTTTAAATGTACGTTTTCTGGCTCATGGTCAGAAAAAATAAGTAAGCTGGAAACAAAGTTGGGCTTTAGGAATGACAGTTTAAAGGCCAAACCATTAACACGTCATATACACAATAATCAAAAGATACGGTATTTTATCCTTACGCAGGTGATCATAGGCTGCAGGCCAAAACAAGACTAGTTAAACAAAAAGGGATGCAGCAATGCAGTTCCATCTCTTGCCACAGATGCTGAGGTAAACATGATGATGACCCTAAATCAGTGCTACAGGTGCAAAGCACTGAGCAGCAGGGAAAGCTCAGGTAAACCATGGGTACATCCCAAGTCTCTTAATTCTCATTTCCTCGCTCCTCCCTTGAACCGGAAGTTGTTCTGCGCCGCCATATTGACGGCCGTCCCAAAGCTCTTATTTAGCTCTGAGGATGGAGGAGGGAGGAGGGATCTCTGAGGAGCCATGAGCGAGGACCCACGAGAACAGACTTACAGGAAGTCTTTTAACGTCCGACACGCCCCCTCATTGTTTATCAGTCATGTGATTGGACGCTGCAGCCGATCGGACTGATGAGATTTTTTTCAACATGTAAACAGTGAAGACGGATCACAGATTAAACTCAAGCTTTATATTTGATTCGTTTTCTGATTCAACATCTGGTTTAAATAAATGTTCATTGTAGACTGAACAACAAAAGGACCACAAACAACTTTCTTCATTTATTAGAAAGATTTGTGTTTTCATGATCTGAACTTTTATTATGGAAACAATTAAAGTCAGAGGGAACTGGAGAGACAAAACACTTATTACATCATTTATCATCATTTCATTCAGTCACGTGAGGCTGTTCATTCCTGATTGTCGGGTTTGATGAGTTTTATCATATAAGAGAAACATAATCATATTCTGGGTTATTTAATATCGACGTCACAATCTGAATTTCAAAACGTACAGACGCAAAATAATTCATAAATAAGACGATCGCATTCCGCAGGTAGAAATCGATCCTGTGTTTATAAACAGAACACAGGACACAGTTTGTTAACAGACTACAGAGAGAAACACCTCTACAGTGGTGATTACTGTGTCTTTATTAGTTATTAGTATTATTAGATACTATTATTAAGTACAGTGATCATGTGAACAGACAAACTTATCAAAAGTCTCTCCAGCTGTTAAAGCCGACTGACAGCTGATCCAGCTGTGATCAGCTGATCCTCCGTCATCAGAAACAGATGTCGCTTCACGTGACGCAACTGAGGAAAGGACGTCTCATGTCTCTTAAAACATATTTCCTCGTTCCTCTCTCCTCGCATGGTTTCCTCCATGCATCCCTGGTGGGAGGGACTAAGACACAAGGAAAGGACCCAAGTGAGGGAAACGGGGATGCAATTAAGAGTCTTGGGATGTACCCCATGACCTGGTGTGAACCAAGCCAACAGGAAGAGAGCGGATCATCAGGTTCACTCGCAGCTAGCCAACACACTGACACACCCGCTAGCAGTAAATATGTTATTGATTCATGCCCTTCTCTTATGTTTTGTCATCTTTCACTAAACACCATCTATTATTATCATTATTGGATTCATGATGAATCAATATTGTGTCTAAACTGGGTTTTAACGGATGCATTCATGCCATTAGTTTGACTTCCATAGGGCATGTTTTTGCATTGATGCCATATTGTTTCCTTTGTCAAGTAAACCCTTACATGTGACTCACAACCTTGAGGTATATCAACACGGCGAATGACTTTTACCGATATGACGCCTCTCATTAAACGTCATCTCTATATTGGGACGTCCCTGGGCTCATGTTGCAGTGGTCACGTCTCATGTCCCAAGGCTTCATGCCATTTCCTGAATACTGCCGAAGCAACATCCTCCACCCTGCTCCAATTCTCTCCACCCCCAAAGCGCCTTGATGAGGGATGCTGATTAAGCAGCGGAACTTAAATGTACACAAACAGCCACCCACAGATTAGCCAGCAGTGAGTGCAGTCAAACCAAAACAACTCGCTCTCCACTCAGCGGCAGGGGAAGGCACGCCGGGCGGTAAGGAGTGGCTGTGGCAGCGTGCCATGTCGAGAGCCTACGTGCCATCCAGCCACTCATGATACTCTGTCTGTTAGTACTGCCAGGCAGACACACTGTTCTCTGTCAGTACCCCACTTACTGCCCTGCCCCGGGGGCGCAGGCACGCACAGACACACTACATCAAGCATCGAGGTTTTCTGTGTACCGGTAATTAGCACCCACTTCCTAATTACTTGATGCTGCTGAGGAGGCTGGCTGTCCGCTCAGAGGTGGATTTGGATTTACTCTGATTCCACTGGGGGGATTATTTGGATTCATAGCTTTATGTTCTCATAGCAAGAGATGGGAGTTGGTAGGGACAATATAATCAGGGCAAATAGTACTGCTGTGTTACATTTCAGGTGCCAGGTCAGGCATTGGGCCAGTGGTCAGTTAGTTAGCTACATATCAAGTGTTGTAGCAGCATAGCATATATAGACCATAGCATAGGTCACATTGGAAGCTATTCAGTCAGACTTTGTACCGGCCATCCTAAACCAGTTAAAAGTGGGCTGGTCATTGTATGACTACATTCACATTCCCCATTACCTCCCTGCCCTGTAGCACCAATTGAATAACAAATATGGTCAAGCTGGACTATTCCCTGACCTCAAACCCCATCCAGAGTCAAACCCTGTAAAAAAATCCCCCCTCTGAAAAACCAGGTCCTCCAGGGGATGGAAAAGATGAGCTCATCCCTCCGATAGTGGGCCGGTCTGGTCTGTGGTCTCCCTAATGGTCTCCAGGATGTCAACACCAGTCCAATAAGTCCCACTTACTCACTCAAATTAATTACCAGTTCCACATGGGGTCCAAGCCTAAATAAACGGAGCCCAAACTTGCTATACAATCAGCTTATATCTATAAACAGTGGAGAAGTTTAAATCAGGCCATTCCCAAGAGTACCGGCCTTTGCTTGGACAGCATAGCTGAGACGATGGAGCCAGATGAACTCACTGCAGGGAGTTTCAAAGGAGTATTTTAAAGACGACACAAATAGCACAGGCACGGGTTCTACAGTGCCAAATAGCTCCTCCGTATAATTCAAACACACAATTGTAATACTATGATAGATATGTTTAACTTGATATTATTTTTTGGGGACAGTTTGACTTTGTTTATCTGGTAAATGACCGCCATAAAGAACACATTAAGCTGAATGAGCTAAGGTGGGAACAGAAAACCCAATATCGGAGTTAGTTAATTGGAGAATAACTTGCCTACACTC